GGACACCTTACCTAACCTCTTGGAAACTCCTGTCTGTGAAGAGTGTGCACGGAGAGCTTCAGCAGCCTGCAAAGCAGCCATCCTCACTTCCACGGAGCAGGTATTTTATTGCATTCTTTCAAGCTCAAGGACTCCAGAATTAGATCCCAAAAATATGCCCAAGAAACATTTACACCCCAGGAGCTCAAGCCAAGTAATGAAAACCACAGAAAACAACCAGGGAGCCCGTGTCCTGAAGTCACCTCTTCCTGGGAGGTCCAGGAGAGTTTTTCCTACTTTCCCTCAATTGTCCCTCCCTTTCCTTCCCTTCCCTTTCTTCCCCAGAGGGCGATGTGTGTTAATCAAGGAGCCCGCATTTGTGCAGGGATGGACGATTACACACCTACTGGGTGAATTGCACCTAGGAGGGGATGCCACTCTGTAAAACAGGACCAAATCTCTTGCTTTCGGTCCTCAGAAGATCTTCTGGTTAAAATCATCGAAAAAGTTGTTTCAAGTCTCTGGAACAGCTGAGGTTAGCAAAAATCAATGACGCTTCCTCTGTGTGGGTGCGGGTGCTGCACTAGGTGCTGGAATGTGGAAATGAGGAAGATTGTGCCTGAGGATTTCATAGCAGGTGAGCAGGAGAGAGGCCTAAAGAAGCTTCCCCCAGGGAAGGTGACAAGGGCAGTGATAGGATAAATATGAATTGCAAAGAGAAGACAGACAAGAAGTTCAGCTAGCTAAGAAGTGTGCTAATAACACCTTGATCAATCATGCCTCCACGTTTTTTTTTTTTTTGTTTTGAGAATCTCATTCTGTCACCCCACCCAAAGTGGAGTGGCAGGAACACAGCTCATCGCCACCTCGACCTCTGGCCTCAGGTGATCCTCCTGCCTCAGCTTCCTGTGTAGCTGGGGCCACATGTATTTTACCACCATGCCTGGCTTATTTTTAACTTTTTTTTGTAAAGACGGGGTCTCACTATGTTGCCTAGACTGGTTTCAAACTCTTGGACTTAAGCAATCCTCCCACCTTGCCTCCCAAAGTGCTGCAGTTACAGATGTGAGCCACTGTGCCCAGCCTCACTTTTTTTTTTTTTTTTTTTTGAGACAGAGTTTTGCTCCCTCTCCCAGGCTGGAGTGCACTGGTGCAATCTCGGTTTACCGCAACCTCCGCCTTTCCGGTTCAAGGGATTCTCCTGCCTCAACCACCTGAGTAGCTGGGATTACAGGCACGTGCCACCACATCCAGCTAATTTTTGTATTTTTAGTAGAGACAGGGTTTCACCATGTTGGTCAGGCTGCTCTCAAGCTCCTGACCTGGTGATCCGCCCACATCAGCCTCCCAAAGTGCTGGGATTACAGGCATGAGCCACCGCACCCGCCTAGCTTCACTTTTTTTTTTTTTTTTAAATAAAAGTTTATGAAACATCTTAACACAAGATCTCCTTTGCTCCTCACAACCACCCAGTGAAGCAGGCAAGATGACAGGAACTCCCCACTGTGATAGACGCGGGGCCTGGGGTCTCCCAGGTGCCCACGGCAGATGCAACACACAGCAGTGACCGACGGCAGGGATCACAAGTATCGCTTCCACCCCTTCAGTACTTCCTCTGTGCCAGGCCTGTGCTAAGCGCTAGATGAGCACAATCCCTTTGCATTCTCATGGCTCTTTCAAACAGGTATTATCACTTTCTTTTAAAAATTTTTTTGTTAAATATAAATAATATATACTTTATATATTATATACAAAAATACATGTAATTTACCATTTTAACCATTTCCAAATGTCCAGTTGAGGAGCATTAAGTGCAATCACATTGTTGTGCTACTGTCAGTACACCATCCACAGAACTCTTCCTCTTTCCAAACTGAAATTCTATGCATTTTAAACAGTAATATCCTAGGCCCCTCTCTCTCCAGCCTCTGGCACCTACCATTTTGCTTTCTGTCTTTATGAAGTTGACACTCCAGCTATATCATAGAGTATTTGACTGCTTTATTTCAATTAGCATAGTATCCTCAAGGTTTATCTATGTTGTAGCATATACTGGAATTTCCCCCCCAACACCCCTCGTGTGTGTGTGTGTGTGTGTGTGTGTGTGTGTGTATGTGAACCTCTCTAAAGGATCCTTCCTATATATATATATATATATATTATTTTTTTTTTTTGAGACATAGTTTCACTTTTGTTGCCCAGGCTAGAGTGCAATGGCACCATCTCGGCTCACCACAGCCTCTGTCTCCCGGGTTCAAGTGATTCTCCTGCCTCAGCCTCCCGAGTAGCTGGGACTACAGGCGCCTGCCACCACGCCTGGCTAATTTTTGCATTTTCAGTAAGACGGGGTTTTACTGTCAGGCTGATCTTGAACTCCTGACCTCTTGATCTGCACGTCTCAGCCTCCTAGGCTTCCTTTATCAGGTTGAACAATATTCCATTGTATGCATATATCCAATTTTGCTTATCTGTTCATCCTCCGTCAACGAACACTTGGATTATTGCCACACTTTAGCTATTGTGAATAATTTTGGCTATTGTGAATAATCTGTATACATGAGTGTACAGATATTTCTTTGATAATACAGGTATTATTAATCTTTTTACGGAGAGGGAAACTGATGCTCAGACATATTAATTTCTCCCAGTTTATCAAATAATTTATGGGAGAACCAGTCTATGTAACTCTAAAAATAGGGATCCCAACCATTGCACTATCCTACCTCTAAAAACCATGGATTTTAACATCACAATATCTGAGTTAAAGTTTCCAGCTCTGCCACTGACTGATGTGACACTGAGCAAGTCCCTTAATCTCTCTGAGCTGAAGGCTGTTGTAAGAATTAAGTGAAGCAATGTGCTTAATTATAGTGCCTGGCACAGAGTAAGTGTTGAATACACATTGGCTTTTGTTATAAGTGGCAGCAAGTGTGTAGGAGAGCTGACCTGAGAACCCAGGGTCTTTGATTCCTTGGCAGGAACCTGCCAGGTGGGCTACAAGTTTCCTGGCCAAACACTGGTTCTTACCAGCTGCATTGTGAGCTGTGCCTATGTCATCTTTGTTTGTATCTCATTGGACAGGCAGATCTGAAGCCTGGACCTGCCATCTACATTTCTCTACCAACCCAGGGCTAAGTATGTCACAGGCATTGTGTGACAGCAAGGTGTAAAGAAAAAAGCACTGTAGCCAGGCGTGGTGGTTCACGCTGGTAATCCCAAAACTTTGGGAGGCTGATGCAGGCAGATCATGAGGTCAGAAGTTCCAAACCAGCCTGGCCAACATGGTGAAACCCCGTCTCTACTAAAAATACAAAAAATTAGCTGAGCATAGTGGCGGGCGCCTGTCATCCCAGCTACTCAGGAGACTGAGGCAGGAGAATCGCTTGAACCTGGGAGGCGGAGGTTGCAGTGAACTGAGATCGTGCCACTGCACTCCAGCCTGGGTGACAGAATGAGACTCTGTCTCAAAAAAACAAAAAGAAAACAGCACTGTCAGGAGGTCAAGAGTAGGGTGTCCTAACCCAGTGTAGCCACTAAACAGGCCCCTTCTCCTCTCCACTGGGTCTCAGTTTCCTCACCTGTAGATCAAGGATTTTACAGGTGCTGATTGCTAAGATCTGCATGTTCTGGAAACTCCTAAGCTATGATCTCTGTTTAGTGTTGCCCAAGGCTTGGGTTGTGCCGTCAGACTGCCTGGGCTCAAACCCTGGGACTGAGGCCTGCTTGCTGTGTAATCTTGAGCCAAGGGCTTGTTATCTCTCCAGCCTTTGGTTTTCTCATTATTAAAAACAGAGGCTAATAACAGAGCTTGTGTTGTGGGGCTTCTCTTAGTCCGCTGTGTGTTGCTGTAACAGAACACCACAGGCTGGGTAATTTATAAAGAAAAGCAATTTATTTATCACAGATCTGGAAGCTGGGAAGTCCAAGATCAAGGTGTCGGCATCTGATGAGGGCCTTCATGCTGCAGTATTCCACCATGGAAGGCAAAGTACAAGAGTGAGCCAGAGAGTACCGAGCAAGCAAGAGAGGACTGGCCTCACCTTTATAACAACCCACTCTTGCAATAACCCACTCCTTCTACAACAACATCAACCCATTCACAAGGGCACACCCCTCATGGCCTAATCGCTTCTGGAAGGTTTGACATCTCAATACAATCATAACGATAAGTAAATTTCAACATGAGTTTTGGAGGAGACATTCAAACCATAGCAGGGCTACTGTGAGGATTAAGCAAGATAATGTACCTGGCATAATTCAGTGCTCAGTAAATGCCAGCTGTCAGTATTCTTCTTGTGATGATCACGGTGGATACTTCTAGATGAGCGAACAAGAATAGTATGAAAAGGTATAGTGGAGCCAATATTATTCACTGTCAATGATTCTTGGATTGCCCTCTGATAATGAAAATAACCTACCTCAAAAGTTGTGGTGGAGAATAAATAAGATAAAAATGTAGGCTGGGTTTGTTGGCTCACGCCTGTGATCCCAGCACTTTGGGAGGCCGAGGCAGTTGGATCACAAGGTCAAGAGATCGAGACCATCCTGGCCAACATAGTGAAACCCTGTCTCTACTAAAAATACAAAAATTAGTTGGGCGTGGTGGTGCATGCCTGTAATCCCAGCTGCTAGGCAGGCTGAGACAGGAGAATGGCTTGAACTGAGGAGGTGGAAGTTGCAGTGAGCGGAGATCACACCACTGCACTCCAGCCTGGCAACAGAGCAACACTCTGTCTCAAAAAAAAAAAAAAAAAAAAAAAAAAAAAAAT